AGAACTAGAAAAGAAGGCCTAGGACAGAGTGGGTTGGAGAAAGCTGGTCGGCGGCCTATGCTCCATTGGGAGTAACAGGCGTAAGTAAGTAAGTAAGTAAGTGAATTTATTATTTTTCATTGTTTTCAAGAATCAATAAATTTAGTTAAAAAAAATTTTTTAAAGATAAACTTTAATAAAGAAAATAAAAATGAAAAATAAAAAATAAAAAATTACTATCCATAAATAAGTGACTATTTGAACTCTATAAGTCAATTGATAATGAGTAATGGGACCGATACACCGAAAAAAAGAACATCAACACAATAATTGAGGTTATTCCAGCTGATAAGTAACAGATGGGGGAAAAAAAAATGAATGAAAGCTTCACGATTAAACTATTCAATATACAGAACTAAATTCTGTCAAAATGAAAATTTTATTCTTGAGTTTCCCACAGTTTTTAAAAAAAATAACATTTCATCAGTTTATATTGACCGGTTAAACTGTTCATTATTTTTCACTATTAATTCAACTAGATTCATGATAAAGTTTAATAGTTAAGATCAAGAATCAATTCAATCTAGACTAGCTTGGAAAACTTAGAAACACTAGACGACCATTTCGTCTTATTGTGGTTCTCCTCATCAGTGCTTCCTTTCGTGAGATTCGAAACCAAGAAATTACGGTTTTATGAACAAGCGCTTAACCTTTAAACCACTAAGCCGACCGGTATCCAACGATGTTTTTTGTCTGACAATAGGATGAAACAGCTATCAAATGCTTTCATGTTTTCCATTGTGGTCTAGCTTTCATTGATTCATGATCTCAACTATTAAAATTACTCAAAGTTGAAATCATGAATCAATTGAAGCTAGACCACCATTGAAAACCTGAAATCACTGGACAGTCGTTTTGTCCTATTATGGGACTCCTCAGCAATGCGCATCCACGAACCCACTCTCGCGAGCGAGATTCGAACCCAGGATCTACCAGTTTCGAGCCGAAGCGCTTAACCGATAGACCACTGAGCTGGTTCATGATTTCAACTTTGAAAAATACTGAAATCTCCACAAATCCCCTTCTAAATATTAAAATTACTGTAATATTCACAAAGTTTCTTCTGATATTAATCATGATAAATTATTTAAAATCTAAATCAGTTATAAATAGTCAATTAAAATGTCTATAGTCTATTGTTTTAATTGTCTCCATTAAACAATGTTTACAGAACATGACAAAAGACTCATTCATTATGTAACGATTTCCTATTGATATCTGTTACATAAGTTTAAATTATCTAACCTTCTGTCTTATTTATACCAGATATTTATTGTATACTACTTATATCTATCTATATAAGTAATATGTAATACTAATCAGAAATCAAAAAAAATTTGGCATCAAAAGTTTAAGAAAATCAAGTTTACAATAGATTATGTTAACAGAAGGGATTTTGTGAAGATTTTATTAAATTTTATAGTTGAATTCATAAGTCAATTGAAGGTAGATCATCATGAAAAACCTAGAATCATTGAATTGACATTGATGCGTACATCTGAAGAATTCCATACTAGAACAGTGTTTCCAAGTTTTTTCAAGGTGGTTCAATTTAATTCAACTCATTAATTCAACATTTATATAATTGATGAAAATTGAAGAGAAAATTAGTTAGATTGATGCTTCTAGTGAAGTAGATTCTCTATCAATTAAAGATCATCAATATACAGTCGAAGCTCTATTCTTAAGATTATAAGCATTGATAGATAGTGGTTAGTCACTATACAGCTTGTGAATTAAGGGTATATCAAAGCAATACACATAGTATGCACATATAACCAATAAGATACTGATCAATTACAGTGGAGAAGATTTGTAGCTCAGGTGGGTGATTTTTTATGTTGGTTTGTTCTCTGAGCTGGATGGTTTGGTCGTGGAGCTTTCATAAGAACCAATCAACATCGAGGTGCAGAGGACAAGCTGTGAATCACATGTGGAGAAATTCAAACACTTCACTTCTACCCGAAGTTTGTGCTGATGATGTCGTTCAGAAGGACGATGAAAGCTCCACGACCAAACCATCCAGCTCAGAGAACAAACCAACATAAAGATCAATTACAGTCCTAAACATCAATCAGAATATTTAAACAAACAATATTAAGTGACTTATATTAGTAAAATTGTTCATTATGAAGTTTGATTTAATGATGGACAATTAATCAAATGATATATAATTGTTCTTTTCAATTGAAGATCATATTCGCTTGACCTCTTTGAGCATTGAAGTAAAGGAACCTTAACTACATCTATCTGTATGACTTTGAATGTCATGGGATAATTGACAGTATAATGACTGTTATATTATTACATTCAATTCAGACTACATAATCTTTGATAACTGAGTTACAAGTTTATTTCAGGTGATTTACTTTATATAACCATATAATGTTTAGTTGAGTTTGTGTTACAAAGTAGATTTGTTCATTAGGTATATAAGAACCCCCGGTCTATGCTCCATTGGGCGGTAACAAACGTAAATAGTAGTAAGTAGTATATTCGAATCACATATGATAAAAATGTCTATTTACTTAGATTCATATAAAACTAGTTCACGTAACAAAAGTAACTAAACGTATGTAAAGCTCCTGTTTTTTAGTTACAAAATCATATGAATTACAATTGCTTCTATTAACTGAATAATTTAATACCATACTACTTTCTACTGATTATCCTTAATATATCATTTATTAAAAATTTATGTGGAAATTTTAGGTTTTACTTTGTCATGGTCCTGGTTCAGTTAAGTTATCATTGCAAACTAGGCAATACTTGACAGTTGTTTGGCTCCGGTACAAGACTCGTTAGCAATGTGTACCCATAACTACATTAGGGATCTTAGATTGGACCTATAAGTCACATGATAAACGCCTAAACAGTAAGACTACTTGATTAACTATCAATAGTTTACTTTTAACTTACCTTGATTTCTAAACAATAGTTTGATCTCTAATAAATTCAATAGGATTAGATAGTCTAAGACAATTTAATACAATATATATATATATATATATATATATATATATATGGCTGGGCGATAACTTTTCAAATAACCTCTACGTTCAGATTTTGGAATGACTGACGATTAATGTTATTCTGAGTGTTACAATCAATTAAATAAAGGTTGTTGTTAGGTATCATTACCAAGACTTGATTTGATAATTTTGAATAAATTGAGCATTGGGTAGATTGTTATAAATAAATTATATAATTGTAATATCCCAATGAGTAGAAAAATTAGATTTTCTAACGTTTCGTGACTCAGTGTAAGCCACTTCTTCAGAGAATAAATAACCAAATTAAACCACGAATTTGGCTTAGATATGTAGATGACACATTTGTAGTAATAAAAAAGACGCATCTAAGATCGTTTTCAAAACGGATAAATGCACTTTCATCTCACATCAAATTCACGAATGAGAATGAAAATGAACATGGAGAGCTACCGTTCTTAGATTGCTTAGTGAAAAGAAATATAAATGGAGTTCTAAATTTATCCATCTACCGAAAGCCCACACACTCTCATCGTTACATCGACTTCCATTCAGCACATCCTTTCAGTGCTAAAATTTCGTTAGCCTTAAATCTTGTTAGAAGAGCCAACAAGATCATCTCTTCAGAAGAGGACAAACAAAAAGAACAAAAGAATATAATTAGCATCTTAAAATTTAATAATTTTCCTATGAAGATTATTAGAAGTATATTAAAACAAGGCAGTTCAGTACATAATAATAATAATTCGAATAAAATGCCATGGATTGGTACTGCAGTCTTACCATACCGTCATGTCACAACTGAAGAACTCCAAAGGATATTAAGACAACACAGAATTAAAGTATATTACAAAACAACTAACACACTTCGAAATACTTTAGTTCGATTAAAAGAAAAAATACCATTCATGTCTACACAGAACTGCGTCTACAAATTAGGTTGTGTCGATTGTGATGCCTTCTATATTGGAGAGTCATCTCGCGAAATCTTAACTCGCGCTAAAGAACATATCAGGTACACAAAGAAACCGCCTAATAATCCTGTAGAATTAGATAGACTTCAGATTAAATCGGCAATAGCAGTTCACGCCATTTTCAACAGTCATCAAATTGATTTCAAAAATATCAAAATACTACAGAAAGGTTTTTCTAACTACAAAGAAAGAAGAGTAGCAGAAGCTTTCCATATAATGCTTAATCCCACAGCTCTCAATAGAAAGGAAGGCCTTACCATACATCCCACTTGGACTATCTATCCTAGTCAACCAGTCTAATATTATTTACAATCTCACACCATTACATTACAAATTAAACTCTATCCTTTGTCATTACAAAGGTCACACATTTTTCGTCATTAACAATGCACACATACACACAAATTTACATACATATCCCTTATGAATCACTTTGACCGAAATGAAATGACGTGACAGTGATTTATTTAGACCTGTTTTTGATTGATCACACCTAATATTCTTGGATTGTTCCGTTGTACTATTTAAACTTGGATTAATATTAATTTGGTTATTTATTCTCTGAAGAAGTGGCTTACACTGAGTCACGAAACGTCAGAAAATCTAATTTTTCTACTCATTGGGATATTACAAATATATAATTTATTTAAAGGTTGTTGTTGTTTGTTTGTATCTTCCCATTGATGTTTATGACTTCAATTGATCAGTATCTTAATGGTATATGTGCATCTTATGCGGATCGCCTCGATATTGTCCTAATTCACAACTATTATTAGTCAAGTGGATAACGTGAAGGCGTTTGAAATAAACAGAGTGAACATCAACTCTGAGATGTAAGTACATCCAGCTGATGAGTTCCAAATAGGACGAAACATGCATCTTCAATTCCAGTGCTAGTCATTATCCATCTTTACTTATAATAATAATAATCATAATAATAATACACATTAAACAAATGACAAAATATGTATGTATATACGTATAATATATAACTTACATTGACCATTACATCGTCTTATAATTTTATCCAAAAATGTATTCTGTGGTGCTACAAGACCTCGTCTAGATCCACTCATTATTGATTTTGATTAATAGAATAAATTTAAATTATAAAGTAATCCTTATTTTATTATACATAATCACAATCACCATCATCATCATTATGGTAATAATTCCAAAATTTAACTTCCATGGTATTCTTTCCATTTGAAGAAAAGTCCTCTTCACTTGAATAGTCTGATGAATAGTTGTATAGATAATAAAGTTTACATACAAGATTACAAATGTTGAATATCATCCATTTAATTGATTTTTACGTTATGGATCATTTAAACCAAATTGAATTCAATTAAGAATATACGTCAAACTATCAGAAGTATTCAGTTGAATATAAAAAAGAAGACGAAGAGGAAGAAGAAGACGGTGACGAAGTCGAAGAAGAAGAAGAAGAAGAAGAAGAAAAACAAAAAGATGTTCAACTTTCCTTTTCTCTAAAATGTGTTTTTTTTTTAATTTTTTTTAAAAAAATTTATATTATATCTTGAACATTACTATGATGTAATCTTGTATACTTTGACAACAAATTGACAACATTCAAATGGATCCAATTACATATATAATCAATATCCATATGGTGAACAAAAAATATAAAATGATCCCCCCCTCTTTTGTTTTTTTTTCTTTTTCTTTATTATTTATATACAAATATAAATCCAAAAAAGTAACATGTTGAATAATTATCATTTAAATATGATTCATTGAATAAGTTATATAGATACTAATAAATTAAGATGGATGGATGGATGGATGGATGGATGGATGGATGGATGGATGGATGGATGGATGGATGGATGGATGGATGGATGGATGGATGGATGGATGGATGGATGGATGGATGGATGGATACTTCTTGTTTCTATCCTGTTCAATGCTGATGATGATGGCGGTGATGACAATGATGATGAAGATCTAGATGATGATACCAAGGTTGAATTCCATAAACCTTTATTATTATTACCATTATTAATATGATTCTTGTTACCATCAATGTGATCATTGTCATTTATAAAATATATTCAGGGTAAATAATAATTTTTTTTTTTTAAATTGACCAATTATCTTTATTTTCCCTAGATTTTTAAAACTTATTCAACATTTCCCTACCACCACCACCACCACCCATTTCAGTATAGTATAGTGAAATGATGAATATAGATATATGGATACTCAATAAAGTGTTAATCATTATTGCTATATATATGAGAGCATGTGTCTATGGGTATGAAAATGAAGGGAATATAGAATGAATCTATATGTAGATAGATATTAGTTGGTTGATTAAATTTTGTGGATTTATGCAGCTATGCCAACAGTCATACTTTCAATATATGCACTCATATGAGAGAAATACTCATAAGCAACACATAAACACACACACACATACATACATACATGTATAAACATGTAAATGAACCAATATACTTTCTTGTGTATTGGTGTGTTTATACTACTCATTTATGAGTAGATACATATATATACTACAATGACAAAAATGTACTACATTCATGAATGATTAGCCAGGAATCGTATTTCTCTTTTATTTTTAAATAAGAGGAAAATATAATCAACATTGTACTTCATCACGAATGGAAAACAATTATTCATCTGAAATGGGTTCACAAAGATTGTTGTCTGGAACTGACTAAAAATAGACATAGTTGAAATCATGAGTCAGTTGGAGCTAGTCCAGCATGGAAAACCTGGAAGCACTGTACGGCCATTTCGTCCTATTATCGGACTCCTCATCAGAGCACATCCATGATTTCATCTCATGAAATTCGAACCCAGAACCAGTTGGTCTCGCGTCAAAGCACTTAACCGATAGACCACTGCGCATTGCTAAGGAATTCCATAATAGGACGAAATGACCGTTCAGTGCTTCCAGGTTTTCCATGGTGGTCTAGCTTCAATTGACTCATGATTTCAACTATGAAAATACTAAAATATCCACAGAAACCCCTTCTAAAATTAGGCAATCAGTGTAAAGTATAATATATATTCACTTAGTATTCTTTGTTTGAATCTTCTCATTGATGTTTAGGACTGCAACTGGGTTCGAGTCCCAGAATGAACATCAACTCTGAGATGCAGGTTCATTCAGCTGACGAGTCCTAAATAGGACGAAGTGTCGCGCGTCCTGGATTCCACTGGTAGACACTATCCATCTTTGCTTAGAAAACATATATTCAGATTTATTTAACTTAAACATGTAAAGTATTAGATGATATAAGGGGGTATGAAAATAAAGTGCTTTCCTCTAATTTTGATAGTTGAGATCATGAATCAATTGAAGCTAGACAACCATAGAAAACCTGAAAGCACTGGATGGCCGTTTCTTCATATTATGGGACTCCTCAGCAGTGAGCACCTCACAAGATTCGAATCCAGGACCTATCGGTCTCACGCGCGAGCGCTTGACCTCTAGACCACAGTACCAGCCGGCATCCATCGGTGTTAATGTCTAACCTCAACCATATATATCTGATGACTGGTTGCACCAATATTTATTTGTTTAAATAAAATAAATAAATAAATAACGTAAAATTGTAATACACACACTGCTCTATATACAACTACATCTTGTTATTCTTAACCTTGACCTTACTTACTTGCTTACGCCTGTTACAAACAATGGAGCATAGGCCGAAGACCACCATTCTCCAACCTACTCTGTCCTTGGTCTCCCTTCGTATCCAACTTTAGTTCATTCTTCTCATGCCTGTCTCTATTTCTCCGCGTATTGTGTTCTTTGGTCTTCCTCTATTCCGTCGACCTTCAGGATTTAATATGAGGGCTTGTCTTGTGACTAAATTGGGTGATTTCCTCAATGTGTGCCCAATCCACTTGCAGCACTTCTTTCCGATTTCTTCCTCCACCGTGTCGAATCTGATTTGTTCTCTCCCACAGTAGAATGTTGCTGATAGTGTCTGGTCAACGGATCCGAAGTATCTTGCTTAGACAGCTGTTAATAAACACTTGTATCTTCTGGATAATAGCTTTCGTAGTTCTCCACGTCTCCGCCCCATACAGTAAAACTGCCTTGACATTTGTATTGAAAATTCTAACCTTAGTGTTGGTTGGCAATTGTTTTGAGTTCCAGATGTTTTTTAATTGTAATTATGCTGCTCTTGCTTTGCCGATCCTCGCCCTCACATCTGCATGGCTTGGGACCGGCAGTAGCTTCTGGAGAAGCTACAGGCTGAGTTTAACACTGATCTTAATTAACTGATATCAATTCCTGTTTTATCATTGTCTAAATATTTATTTCGATTGGTTCCCACCCCATCTCTTTCTTTATTTTTACCATGATTTTCGAAGTTAACTATGTGCCCAATGAATAGAAAGATTATGATTACTCTTTTAGGGGGGAAATCGATTCAACTTGTATTTCAATTAATATAATTCAGTTATCCATTTTTTTTAGTTAATTTATTAGAAATTTATTTATCTTTTTATTTATAACCACAGTAAAAATAATCACCGCGATAACTTGTAAACAGTAATCATAATATAATTGTAGTGTTAGTTGCTATGTTAAATCTATATAGCATATTCTAGCTTCTGGACAATATCGATTAATGCTTGATTAAATTCAGTTGGCTTACACACCATCTTCACTGTGTACCATTTTGCTTCGCTCCCTTCTCTTCGTTTCTTTCCCTTTGCCCTTCTGATTCACTTTCCAGATCAATTGGTTTACAAAATATACGTATTTAAGACGGTGGTTGGAGGTGGTCAAAAGGGAACCATGGACCGAGGTTTCGGGCTACTTGACACTTGTCAGCAAGGTGTACCTGTAATCTTGAGGGAACTGGTGCTCCCTGAGGGATTCGATCACGTGTCACCCAGCTTCACAGTCAAAGACGTTACTACTGAGCTATTCGGGCCGCGACCGACCTCCTGTAGGACTGAGTTGTAATCACAATTGTTTGATCACTGGGTGGTGATCAGTGTCATGCCTGTCAAGTCCTTTTCTTAGTGCTAATTGAATGCTATCGATCAAATATACGTATTTATAATTTCATTCTCGTATTCTGTTCTTCACTACCACGAGTTAATTCAATGATTAAATGCGAGGACAGCAGAGATTCATATATATTGAGACTGTAATCATTCAATAACTATCATTCATACGATAGAAATGAAGTCAGTATAGGGCCATTACATTATACTATCTATGATAAAGTGCTTTACAAACTACAGTTTTGTACGTTACCTTTGAATATCGATGACACTTTTGTCAACTTTAAAATAGATATTCCTAATGAATTATATAGTGTAAAAAAAGTGTAACTATTGTGTAACTATGATTCCTAGAGTAAGTTATTCCCATACAGTGATTACGTAATTTAATCATATAAAAGATCCATTCATGCTTGATCTAAAACAACATGAATCAAGATATGTTATCGACATATATATTTCAAGAAATCTACATCTATCTCATCATCTTCTTTCTACCCGGGGTTTTTTGAAAGGCATACCATTCAGTGATGTCCACTGTAGTAGCAGCCTCAGCAGCAGTACGTCTCAGTATACACAAAGGGAAAAGTAAGATTCTCCGATACAATACAGCATGCATCAACCGAATTACATTTGACGGAGAAGCTTTGGAGGATTCGAAAACCTTTACATATCTGGGCAACATCATTGATGAACACGGTGGATAAGATGAAGGTGTGAAGACGCGGATCAGCAAAGCAAGAGCAGAATATTTACAATTGAAGAACATCTGGAACTCAAAACAATTGTCAATAAACATTAGGATTAGAATTTTTGATACATATGTGAAGACAGTTCCACTGTATGGGGTGGAGACGTGGAGAATTACGAAAGCTATTATCCAGAAGATACAAGTGTTTATTAACAGTTGTCTATGCAAGATAATTCGGATCCGTTGACCAGACACTATCAGCAACATTCTACTGTGGGAGAGAACAAATCAGATTCCATCCGGTGGAGGAAGAAATCAGGAAGAAGCGCTAGACTTGGATAGGACACACATAGGAGAAATCACTGAACTGCGTCACAAGACAAGCCTTCACATGAAATCCTGAAGGTCAAAGGAATAGAGGAAGACCAAAGAACACATTACGCGGAGAAATAGAGACAGGCATGAGAAGAATGAAAAAAAATTGAATAAAACTAAAAAGGGAGACCAAGGACAGAGTAGGTTGGAAAATAGTGGTCAACAACCTGTGCTACATTGTTTGTAACAGGCGTAAGTAACTAAGTAAGTAAATAATACCTTTCAGTAGGACAATTAAAGATCCTTTCGTCATTTTAACTCCATTTAACTACTGATTAATACCTTCATCAAATAAATATCTCATTAATTGTTTCCTATCACTTATTTCAATACAAATTGACTAACTGATTTATTATTCCAAATAGTCACGTTCATCTTTTAGTCATTTATTCTGTAAACGTTTATCAGTTACCTATATATATTCATACTAATATAGTATCCATAGTAATAATAATAATAATAATAATAATAATAATAATAATAATAATAATAATAATCGTTTCCATATGGCTCTACAAACTGATCCAATGATTGTCAGTAATAATAAAAACGATTGATGAAATGCTTTTAGGAGAGAAAAAAAGAAGAAGGAAAAAAAAGAGGAAAACAGATAACAACATCTGATCTATATCATCCAAATCAATTATGTATCCATCCATTCATTCAATTATCTATTTTTAGTAACTAAGTCATTAATTAAACTACATTAATCAGACAAAGTAAA